CACAGCAAATCTTAGTGACCCCTTCTCTCAGTAAGAGCCAGTCCTAAGAACCTCATTTCCCAGTCAGAGCTAGTGATACGGATCCCTTTACCCAATCAGAGCTTTATGGTGTCGCCAGTTGGTGACAGGGTAAGGGGGAGATCTAGGGCTATGAATAGGAAAACATACAGATGCAGGGCTCTGGGGACAGGAAGAGGGAACATTCTCTCATAAACCTCTCATAAACTTAGGCTGAGGTTGCATCCGTGGCCCTTCCCTCCCAGGCACTGTGGTCAGCACTGTATGCCCCCCCCCACTTCCCCAAGGTTCACCAGCCCTAATGAATGCTGAATGCCCCCTCTAATTGCCCCATGAACTCCCCCTGCCCCCCACCCCAGTGCCAGCAATGCAAGCACCTTTCCTGGAAAAGACCAAACCTGCCTTTTCAATGCTGAGCCCCCTGGCCCGGAAGACAGCGCCAGGGAAGAGGGGAACCCACCGCTCTTGGAGGTCCTCTGGGATGAGCGGAGCTGGGGGTGTGCTAAGGCAGCCCGTGAGCTGAGCATGCCCTATTTCAGCTCAGTGGGGGGGGGGGGGGGGTTGAGTCCGGCTCTCTCTGAGTCTTGGACAGCATCCCCGGTCTTCTCTTGTCCTTCTGTGGCATCAAGTCTGGGGCCAACCCGGGGAGCTAGCAGAAAAGAGCAGTGAGAAATCTCCCCATGTGGAACCTCACGGTCTTGCCTCCCCCAGCCTGCCCCCACCCCAAAGCCAGCTTGGCTCCGGACAAAAAGGATGGGGTTGGGGAGGGGGGGATGGGAGGTAGGAGGGATACTGGGACACTTGGTGGTGGGAAATGGGCACTGGTGGAGGGATGGGTATTTGATCATTGCATAATCGAAACCCAAGCACAAAAATTTGTAAGTCTACAACTGTACTTCATGGTGTCTCACTAATAATAAAAATTTTAAAAAAATAAATTTTTTTAAAAAAAAAAGGAAAATAAAATTGTTTTTAAATGAGAAAAAAAAAAGGATGGGGTTGGAGCTTGGAGAATTGCTCCTCGTTCCGCCCTTGGGAGTCGCTGGGGCTGCTCAATCCGGTTTTGATTTCAGAAGCAGCAAGTGACGCTGCGGCACACAGCCCCGAGCTGCCTGCCAGGCAGAGGAAGGATTTGCTGGGTGGGCGCAGTCTCTGCAATCGGATGGTCGCGGCTGGGCCCGCCCAGTGTGCAGCGGCCCGGGCTGTGCGGTGTGGTGAGGACAGCCCAGCTCTGCTCCACTCCCCCCCCCACCCCCCCACCGTGCACAGCCAGCCTCACCCCACCAGGCCAGCAAGTGTGCAGAGATCAGACCAGCTGGGGGAGCTCACAGCCAGGCGGGGCAGTCAGGGAGAGTGGGTTTGCCGAGGGAGTGAAGGGGGGACAAGAGGCAGCGCCCTTGCCCGTGCGTGGGGCTGGGGAGAGGGGGCAGGCTCAGGTGGAGGGGACAGTCTGTTTGCAGGGTCTGTGCTGCTCTCTGACCTCTGCCTGGGCCACCTGGAGCCTGGGAGGGGGGGGGGGGGACGCGTCCTAGGTCAGATTCCCTAGGGAAGGGGGTGGGGCTAGGGCACCCCCAGGGTCTCCCAACACCCTGTCCAGCAGTAGCCTCGGGCTCTTGGTTTTATCTTGCTTCTCTGCCACCAGTTGCAGCAGTGGCCTGGGGCTGCCGGCAGGGCTGTGCTGGCCCCCTCTCCCGGACCCCCCCCCCACCCCAACCCCAGGCTCTGAGCTCATTGCTTCCTACAGCCCAGCCTGCTGGGGGCCGGGCCAGTCCTCTCCGCCCTCCCTCTGCCTTACAGACACGTCTGGATTCCAGAATCAGAGTGACCACGCCCGGGGCACCCCCTCACCCCACTTCCCACCAACCCAAACCGGAGGTCTGGACCCCTGGTGAGCCCCTGAGACTCTGCACGCCCATCTCTGGACAGAAAGTCTGAAGGGCCCCCCTGCGTGCTGGTGAAGCTGCACCTCAGGGTCCTGGGAACAGCAGCCCCCGCTCTGTCTGTCCTGGCCTGTCCCTGGAGGAGGCCACATCTGGAAAAGCATTTGCCGAGGCTGCTGTGCCAGCAAGGCCAGACAGAGCCCGGGGCACCGCGGCTGGGCTGGGCAGCCCCCCTGCCTCAGCCTGACTCAGACCTGGAGCACTGGGCTGGGCGGTGCGTGGGAGGGACAGGGGAAAGCGGGACTCTGGGGGCCATGGTTCACCTCCCAGCCTCATCCTGGTGTTGAGCCTGGCCCGTGTCTCTGTGTCTCCATCGGCTGCCCAGTACTTCCTGCCACTTCTACTCCAAAGCCCCAAAAGAGGTGGGGAGGGTCCCGACTCCCACCCCGAGCCAATGGGGCGGGGAGGGGGGCTCTGGACAGGGCTTCCCAGCCCACGCCCTGGTTCCTGCCGCTCAGAACTGGGTCCACCTGACACCCAGGCCCTGTGGGGTCCTTCCCAGCAGCACAGGCTCTGGGAGGGGGCTCTGGGAGGGAGGAGGACTGGAGCGACCCTCTTAGCTTGGCTCTGCCTTGGCAGATGCAGTACCCAGGGCCATGGGCACACGCCCTCCTGGTCAGAAGCTGCCGCTGTTCCTCTCTGATGCCCAGGATGGGCGGGTCCGCTGGGTGTGGGAGCTCAGGGCGGGCACCCCTTCCCGACCGACCGAGGGAGCTCTCAGTCCCCCAGAGACCTGCCTCAGGGAGCTGGAGGGGAGGTCGCTGGCTCCTGGGGACGCAAGACCTTCAGGCAAGGGGACAGGGGCTAAGATTAGGGAGCACTTCACAGGCCCCACTGGCCTGGGGCAGGGGTGGGGAGTCTCTGCCCCAATCCAGAGCGTGACCTACCTGCTGAGATCCATGTCTAAATTGGGACAAAGAACTTTGTGCTTGCCCTGGAGGTGGCTGAGGGGTAGAAGGTCCAACGCTGCACCCCCCCTCCCCTGCACGCTGCTGAGGGTCCCTGAGCATCTTATGGGGGGGGAGGCTGGGGCCACAGACACTGCTAAGTGTTATACCTCGTAGAACAAAAAGGTCATTTATAGGCCAGCACCCTCCACACACACGCACGTTACACATACACACACATGCATGTGCATGCACACACAAATTTGCATACATGCACATATGCATAAAATATATGCACACATATGCACATGCACACACACACACAGCCTCCAGCAAACAGTGGCTATTCTAGTAGCTACAGAGGACCTGTTGGTGGGTCCATGCCATGCTGGGAACCCCCTGTGGAATGATAGGAGACACCCCGGGTGACACCCTCCTTGCGGCTCAGTTGCTGGGACTCTTGCAGGACCTGGAGTGCCCCCTCCCCCATCCCACATCCCTGCCCCAGCCTGCCTGCAGCTCCCCTGTGGCCTGGCTGGCCATGGCTGCCAGAGTTAGGAACTGGCTCCGCCCCAAGCCTGGATTTCAAGGGCCCACAGGGAGGTCTGTGAGCCTCCGTGAGCCCCCGTGGCCCTCCGCAGCCCCCTGTGACCATGGGGTCTGTGTGGCCCAGTCCTGTTCATTTCCTTGTCTGGGGGCCAGGCCATCTTCAGAGCTGGCTTGGGGGGGGGGGGGGTGAGGGGGGATCGGAGCTGATGGAGACCAACCGCTGTGGCCCGCTATTACCAGCGACTCTCCAGCCCCACCCCAAAGGAGACCCCCAGGGGCTGAGCCCAGACGCATGCAGGGGAAGAAGGCATTGGGGGAGGGGCCGACAGGTCACGGTGCTTGCACGCCCCTCTGCCTCTCCGCATCTCTGCCGATAAGGCTGTGTGTGTTACACCCTGTGCCCTGTGTGTGTTACACCCTGCACCCGCCCGGGATCCCTGGGGACGGGGCTGCAGGACTGCAGGAGGGACTGGCAGCAAGGACGGGACTCCTTGACTGACCCCCACTCCCTCCCACTCCTCTGCATGCACACAGGGAGCAGTGGCCAGGCACAGGCTAGGGGACCCCCTTCCCCATCAGTTGTGTGTTCCTCACTGGGCTTCTGGCCTGGGGACGAGCCTGGAGGTGTCTGCAGGGCAGTGCCCCTTCTCCGGCTGCCCTCCTAAGTCACCTGACCCCTTCAGCCTGGATTCCTGTTCCTGGGGTCTCCTCCCCTTCCCCTCCTAGTCTGCCGGGCTCTTTCTTTTGTGCTTCTGTTCTGCTCTCAGCAAGCAGCCTCTGGCTGTGTCCACCCCAGCCGCCCCCTCCTCTTCCTTCCCACCCTCGTCCCTCTCTCTGCCCTGCCTTGGCCTCCTCTGTCCCCAGGTGGCCTTGCTGCTTTGGAGAGGGAAAGTCCTAAACTGCCCCCCCCCCCCCCCATCACGGGCCAGACTGCTCCAGGAGCCGGGGCGTTCCCAGGGTGCGTTTTTCCCCGGCAACCCCCAGCCCTGACCGGTCTTGGGGAGCGGCTGAGAGCCCCAGAGTGGTCCATGGTGGTCCACAGTCCTGTTCACGCTTGTCCAGTGGGCTGGCCCCTGGGCCCCTGGACTCCGGCTCACAGCGCCCACCCAGCAGTAGCAGGGGCAGCCGGGCAGCTGGTCACTGTGCCTGCTTCTCCGGAGAGCAACGTCCAGTACCGAGTCCAGCGCCTTCACTCCGCCCCGTCCAGGGCCGGCTGTGCCCGAGGGCGCCCCCTGAGCTTTGCACCGTGGGGCGGGGCGGGGCAGAGACACCTGAATTTCTCCAGCTCCCTGAAGGGGGTCACCGGGGGAGGAATTTCCCAAAGCCTATTAGAGAGGCTGCCTCCTGCCTGCTTGCTCCCCAGGCCCAGGCTGGGCAGGGCTGAGGGTGGAGGGAGGGACGTGAGGGAGGGAGGGAGGGAGGGAGGGGAAAGTTGGCAGGCGACGGCAGTGGGAGCCGTGTCTACATCCATCCGTGAGGAGGGCGGGCAGGAGCGAGAGGAGAGGCCTTCCTCCTTTTGTGCTCCCCTTTCTCTCCTCCCCCCGCCCCCCCCCCCGGGCCCTATAAATAGGCCCGGCCCTGGGCTGTGGCTGAGTGTGAGGCGGGAGTCCAGCACCAGCGGTCTGCAGCGGTCTGCAGCCAAGCCCCCTGCCAGCATGGCCAGCGAGTTCAAGAAGAAGCTGTTCTGGCGGGCCGTGGTGGCCGAGTTCCTGGCCATGATCCTCTTCGTGGTCATCAGCATCGGCTCGGCCCTGGGCTTCCAGTACCCGATGGTGGGCAACCAGACGTCAGGGGCCCCGCAGGACAATGTGAAGGTGTCGCTGGCCTTCGGGCTGAGCATCGCCACGCTGGCCCAGAGCGTGGGTCACATCAGCGGCGCCCACCTCAACCCGGCCGTCACGCTGGGGCTGCTGCTCAGCTGTCAGATCAGCATCCTGCGGGCGCTCATGTACATCATCGCCCAGTGCGTGGGGGCCATCGTGGCCACGGCCATCCTGTCCGGCATCACCTCCAACCTGCCCAACAACAGTCTGGGCCGCAATGACGTGAGTGGGGCCGGGGGCCCTGGAGGGAGGCTTCTAGCCACTGTGCAGAGGGGACCCCTGCCCCGGGCGGGAGCACAGGCAGGGCTGGGACTTTTCTTTGAGACTTCAGTGGGGGGGCCGAGCCCCAGTATTTCAGCGTCCGGCCGCTGTCCGGGTGGGGACCCTCGCAGGGAACTTACGGGGAGCAAGTTTGTGCCAGCACCTGCTGGCCCCTCTCTGGAGGTTCAGCCCTGTAGCCAGGAGCAGGGGCAGCTCTGCCCGTCAGCCCGGTCCCAGGTGTGTGAGCTGGTCACACACACACACACACACACACACACACACACACACACACACACCACTGAGAGCCACCCCGCACTTTCCCCCAAACTGCCTCAGGAGAAAGTGCTGCTCCCTGGCCCTGGAAGCTGGAGGGAGATAAGGGTGCAAACAGCTCCGGGCTCTGCAGGTGGTTTCCTGGATGGCAGCGTGGGGTGGGGCTGACACTCTCCTCCTGCTCTGGCTGTCCGGGTCCCTGGCCCCCTGGGGAGGTGCGACCCCGCAGGTCTGGGGGTGTGAGGGGATGTGTGTGCCCGGCCGCGGCAGGCTGTGGAGCTTGCGTGAGCGTGGAGGGTCCCGCCGATGCCCCATTCTGGACGCGTGTCCGGGGTGGGGGCGAGGGGGTGGTGGGCGGTGCGAGCGCAGGGACTGACTAAACACGGCGTTCCAGCGGATGCCCGCTGTGCCAGGCTGGATGGGGCCCCCGGGCTGGGGGTACTAATGGGGAGCAGATGTTGGGGGGCCCCGTGGCAGCGGCTGAAAAGCATTCCTCCCGGGCCGCTGAGCTCAGCGCATCGCTGCCGGCTCTGTCTGCGCCTGTTGCAGACCTGGGCTTTTCCAGACCCATGGCCAAGTGCACACTCAGCAGGGGAGGACTGGAGCAGAGAGGCGGAGGGGACCCAGGAGAGACGCCCCACTCCCTCCTCCCCCCCCCCCCCAGCAACCGACCGGGAACGGGGCAGCACAGTTGCGGAGAGCAGAGGCAGCCCGCGTGGTAACCGCTGACCCGTAATGACCTTGCAGGAGCCGCCTGGGGCTCTCCCGGCCGATCCCTGCTGCCGACCTCTTGCGGTGCAGACAAAGGTCATGCTCTGGAGGGCAACGGGCACGACCCTGCCACCATGGGGGATTAGCACTTCCTCTGTCACCGCCGTCACACCTCCCCCAGCCCCTCTGCCCCTCGCTACTGCACCCTGGATTGAAGATTAGCCCCGCGGGCTGGAGTTTAGACTTTAGTCGGGCCGATGTGGCTGCCTGGGCATGAGGAGCAGCTGCTTCAGGTGTCGGTCTGAGGGGCAGGGGCCTCCTGGGGAGCTGGCATAGGGGCGGGTCTGAGGAGCTTCCCTGGGGACGAAGCAACCCTCTTGGAGCCCCCCCCCACCCCTTGGGGGGCTGGGCAAGACAGAGAGGTCAGCGCTCTTTAACCTGGGGCATTCGTGCTTCTCTCAAGTGCCACCACCACGCCCTGCCCGCTGCCTCGTGCCTGCCTGGGTTTGTTTTCCGAGTCAGCGTGACTGATTCAGGGGGCCCGGCAGGGCAGCAGGGAGCCCGGGCTGGAGGGCGGGGGCGGGGTCGGGGGCAGGGGCCGCCCCAGCAGGCAGGCACAGTGTGAAGTGCTCAAGTCCTGCCTGTGAACTTGTTGAGTTTGCCTGGAGCCCAGGCTTCAAGAGGGGGTGACCTGGGGCGCTCGGGCTCAGGTTATCTCCTGGCCACGCCCCAAGCACCCGGACTTGGCTGAGCAGTTATCACCCGACCCAGAGGGCTTGGCTGAAAGGCGGCCAAGGAGCTCCACGTGAGCCCCGGCACAGAGGGGTCAGGCCTGGAGAAGGGAAAGTGCCCCCCCCCTCCGCCCAGCCCCACTGCCCCCCGGGAGTTCCCGTCCGACACGGGGCTTGGAAGGGACCTCGAGAGGGGGCAGTGGCCTGCATCCAGCAGGTGACACACTGTTTCCTCAGCGGCCCCCAGCCCCTGGCCGCACCCCTTGTCCAGACCAGGGTGGAGCAAGCTGTTGGCATGGAGATTTCCACGAAAATAGGGAAAGAAGTGGCAGGAAGTGGTTGGGTGAGTCAGGGGGTGTCCCGGGGGACAGCTTTCTCCTCACTGAGCCGGGACGGTCGGATATACCCTGCAGAGCCCAGGATCTGGCCCACAAGGTCCAACCTACAGGGTCCCGGCTAGCTCCGCAGCCAAAGCCCCTTTGTCCAGGGTGAGGGGCGTGGGGATGCCGTGGGGTCCGGGCCCCAGTGTGGGACAGGACGAGGCGGTGTGACTGAGCTCGGGAAGTGGGGATCCCGCCTGCCTGCTGGCCTCTGGCTCTCCGCAAGCTGAGAGATAAGGCCCAGCTGGGCACCGAGATAGGGGCAGCAGCGTGAGATAAGGCCGGGGTCATCTCCGACCTCAAGGGTTGGGGTGCAGGAGGGCTTTGCGGAGATGGTGTAGGGGGGTCCGAGGTGGAGAAGCCAGCAGGCGGCTCGGGGCTGCCAACCTCAGAGAGGGGGAGATCAGGGTTGGGGGTCTGGCCCAGCCATCAGAGCCCCTCAGCGTGCTGGAGTGGGGGGTGAGCAGCCCTCTTTGGGGGTATCAGCCTGGTTGCTGACGTCCGTCCTGCACTGCCCCGGACCTGGTTTCCTCAGTTTCCCCAGAGAGCAAGAGGCCCCGCATGCCACTTCCGGGCTCTGCCCTCCCTGGGGAGAAGGGGTGCCTGGGGCTCTGAGACCCGCCCATGCCAGGCTGCTCTGGGCGGGGCTGGGGGCCTGCGGGGTGCATGGTGCCAGCAGGGGTATAATTACTGCTCTGGCCAGGCTGCGGTGCACACTTCCTCACCACGGAAAATTCTGACTCCCTGGCTCAGGGACCCCAAGGGGTGTCACAAGGAGGGGACCCGACCTACCCACAGTGTCCTGCCGCTCACAGCCCCCTCTCTCTCCCCTGACCAGCTCCAAAGCGTGTCTCCAACATGAGTCCGAGAGTGCCTACAACCTGACGGTCTCCGGGGCTGTTCCCGGGTGGGGCTCCCTCAGCACCAGCCTGCACGCACTGGCCGTCCTCGGCCACCCTGTCCCTGGGACAGAGGCATCTGGGGTCTTCCGGCAGAGCCCCCAAGGCCTCGTGCTCTGAGGGTGCCGAGGGCAGGGGCCTCCCTGGCGCGAGGGACGAGTCCCACCCCTGTAGATGGTGTCAGGGCCTCCCCCCCGACCCGGGGCTGCTGACCCGTGAGCATCTTGGGGGCACTGTGTCCAGGGCGTGAGACCCCAGGACACCGGAGATGGCGCCATTCAGCCGCGCACTCAGGAGGGCAGCTGTGGGGACAAGGGATTCCCCTTGGAGCAGGGCTGCCAGGCTGCTGTGAGGATGTGGCCCTCAGGGTCCCCTGGGCACGAGGCCGGGAAGGGCCCTGCTCTGCTGGAGGCTGGGACATCTGTGCCCGTGAGGGCAGATGTGCAGCGGCCGGGCAGGAGGAAATCCTGGTCTGAGGGACTCAGACCTGCTCAGAGCTGACCACAGCTGGCCCGTGTCCCACAGGGAGGAATCCTGGGCTGCCGGCCAGGGGGAAACTGAGGCCCAGGCCTGGGGACACAGAGAGGCTGTTCAGTGGGTCATGGCAGGCTAGAGCAGGCCCCAGCCTCCTGCCTTCCGGGCCGGGGACCTTTGTCATGCCTTAGTCCACACTCACACTCACAGCCACACACTCACAGACACACAGACACACACTCATAGCCACACACTCACAGTCACAGCCACACACTCGCTCACAGCCACACACTCACTCACAGCCACACACACACAGCCACACACTTACAGTCACACACTCAGCCACACACTTACACTCACAGTCACACACTCACAGATACACACTCACACAGACACACACACTCACTCTCACATTTACACACTCACATACTCACAGATACACACTCACACTCATACTCAGCCACACACTCACAGCCACACATTCATACTTGTATACTCACAGACACACACAGATTCACACTCACAGTCACACATTCACACTCATATACTCAGACACACACAGATTCACACTCACAGTCACACATTCACACTCATATACTCACAGACACACACAGATTCACACTCACAGTCACACACTCACAGACACACACTCTCACAATTACACACTCAGTCACACACTCACAGACACTTACATTCACAGACACACACTCACACTCATAGACACACACAGTCACACTCACACACTCATATAGCCACACAGTCACAATCACACACTCACACACTCAGTCACACACTCACAGACACATATTCAGTCACACACTCACACTCACAGACACTCACACTCAGACACACACAATCTCACACGCACAGACACACACTCACAGATATACACTACCAACTCACAGATATACACACTCACAGATATACACTCACAACTCACAGATACACTCACACTCACAGATATACACTTACAACTCAGAGACAGACTCACACTCACAGACAGTCTCATGCACTCACAACTCACAGACATACACACAATCTCACACACACTCAGTCACACACGGTTTCTCACATGCTCACAAAACATACACCCATACACTAACACAGTCTCACAGTCACACAAACCTACATTCTCACACATGTTCTCATATCCACACTCACACAGGGTCTCATGCACACATTTATACTACAGTCACACAGTCTCACACATACACACAGGATCTCATGCTCATGCTTACATACACGTGTACTCTTAGCCACACATTCACAGTTACACTCACACGTGGTCTCACATATTCACACATGCTCACCCCACCCACACACTCACATTGAGACACACCTACCCACACACCCACACCCACTGCCACTTCTCTACAACTACCCACACACTCAGTCACCCACACACCCATAGTAACCCACACACATTACACCCTCCCAGAGTCACACCTGCACACATGCTAATACACACACACGCTCCTATACCTGTTTGCACACATGCTCACACACACATGCTCACACACACACAGACAAACACACACACAAATGCTCACAGCCAGCCGCACACGCTGCCCTCATCCGTCCCATCCGCCCGCACGAGTGCAGGGCTGGGGCGTGGGGCCTGGGGCGGCAGGAAGGAGGGCTCCCCGGGACTAGGAAAGGAAGGAGGGAGGGAGGCGGAAGCCGGCTTTGTGCATTGTTAGTCTGGGAATGAAAAGGTGCCTGGCAGCCACTCAGGGCTCTTCCAATTGCAGCCTTTTCTCTCCCTCAGGGGGTTTCCTTCCACTCACCCCCCTCCCCCAGGCTTTCAGGGCAGCCTGTATGGGACACAGGGACATGCGGCGGCTGCCTGGACACACGCCAGAGGCAGACCGACATCTAGAGCCCCCGATCCCCCGTACGATGTTCAACACCTCCCCTGCATCCCCTGCGTGATGTGCGACAGCCCCATCTCCCGTCCCCGCGGGACAGGGACACCCAAGAGACCCCGGGTGCTCCGATGCTTCCGCCCACTCGGGGCCAGTGGGTCTGAGAACGCGGGGTGAGCGCCTTCACTCGCTGGCCGTGTGTCCCGCCCCTCCCTGCCTCCACTGCCGCCACCGCTCCGTGCCCAGGTCAGGGCTTCATCCCAGACCTGGCTGCTTGGTGGAGCTTCACTTCAGCCCCCCGACAGACTCTTCATTGAGTTATTCCCGACTGAAACTCTTTGTGTCCACACTTAACCCCGGAAAAACCGACACCCTAACCCCCGTGTGGAAAGACACCCAGGGCTGCACAGAGCTGCTGGCACCCAGAAGTGGGTGCACCCATGAACTGCCAGGGAGAGGTGAGCCTGAAGGCAGCCCCTGAGCCTCCACGTGGAGCGCGGGTGGTGGAGGCAGGAGGGGGCTTCCTCTCTGCTCTTCCAGCTCATGCTTCAGAGCAGATGCTCAGCCAGAGCCACCGCTGTCTCCTGAGCCCCGAGCCACCGAGGCCAAGTTGGGGGTCCTGGTTCTTGGCTGGCTTCTTCCAAAGACTTGAGGTCTGTTGCCCAGAGAGGTCGGCCCTGCACTGAGGATGAGCTGGTGGCTCTTAGTCCTGCTGGAAGCAGCCACAGGAAGGACCTGGGGGTAGCCAGTCCCTCTGCTCCTGGGCAGCCAAAAGCAGCAAAGCTGGGATAGGGACCTGCTTTTCAAGTCCTCTCTCTGGGCCATGTCCTCTGCTGGTATACATCACCCGTCACTCACTTATGTGACAAATGTATTCACGTGATGAAGATGCAGTGGCTAGCCAGCACCAGAACAAATCAACCAATCCTGGTCCAGGGTGCACCCCCGAGACAGCTGGTCATGGAGAGGGGTGGAAATGCTAGAAAATGAGCATCCTCCTGACTCCCACCCCAACCCGCCCTGATGCCACACAGTAGGACCACTTCTGGGTGTGACTATAGAGCAGAAAGACCTCCCAGCCTGTCCTCAGCCTGGGAGCTGAGAGGGCTCTGTCCCCCATAGGCTCAGGACATGTGGGAATGGAGAACAGGTGAAACTCCAGCTGGGGACCGTGCACGGCCCTCAGTGGGCTGGTAGCTGGACGGAGAGTTTGCATCTTGGATGGGAGGCGCAGGTTCTTCTGCTTGTTTCCATTTGCTCTTGCAGGAATGATGGCCATCTATTGTTTGTGTTGTCCTGCATCTGTGACCTATCCGTCTTGGGCTGGGCATAGCTAGCTGGGGATAGGCAAGCCAGGTCTTGTTTTTGTAAAAAAAAAAAAAGAAATAAGTGATCACAACTGGAATTGGCTCTGGTTCAGCAATTGTTGGGCCTTCTTGTGGTCAAAGTAGCAGGCTTTAATTTGGAACTTGCCCTTTGCTGGCCACCACGTTCCAACAGACTTTTAACCACCCCTTCCAAATTTGAATTATCAAGTTTTCCCAGATGTAAGGAGCGTAAGTTCTTTGGCATGCAAGGGAGGGTGTGTGTGGGGGGGTGATGACTAGACATGAGAGCCATCGGGTTGGGGCGCAGGGTGGAGCACTTCCTGGAGGAGGGGTTGAAGGTATTGGAGAGGGTGTCAAGGGCTTCTCAGCCTCGGGAGGGGGCGTCTGCCAGGCCCTTAGGGCAGTGGCCACCCCCTCCCTTCCTAGATTCAGTGCTGGGCATGGCCTCAGGCCCCTGCTTTTGCTGGCCCTGGGGAAGCAATGTCTCTGGGCAAGGCAGGAAATGGGCACTCAGGAGGGGTCGAGAGAGGTGTGTGGGGGGGGGCAGCTGACAGCTGGGGGCCGAGGGTGCGGGTATTCAACCAGCCAGCACGTCTTGATCTCCAAGGGGCACCTGCAGAGCACACAGGAAGGGGCAGCAGGCATGAGCCCGCCCATCCGGGATCCACACCTCGGCCTCCCTGTGGAGTCCACAGGGACAATGAGATTTGTCTTACGGCTGGGAAAACCGAGACCCTCGGCAGGCGGGGACCGGGAACTGACACCTAACGGGCAGGGAAGGGTTAGGATCCAAATGTGGAGGCGTGGAGAAGAGTCGGGGCGCTGGCTGGGGCCGCGGGCAGAGGGGGCCGCGGTCTGGGGTCTGCAGGAAAGGCCGGAGCTGAGGCCGGGGCTCCCGGGAGGGATGTGAGTCACTCTCCCCTGGCAGGCTTTGGACAAAGGCGGGAAGAGAATTGTTCTCCTAGGAAGGCCCCGGGTGGTGCTGAGAAAGGCCCGTGAGGAAAGCCCCCAGCCCAGACCCTGCTGGGTGCCCCACACTGCTATCAGGGGACGCTCGGCCGCTGGAAGGTCTGCAGCCCCCACCCCCAGCCCTGCTGCTGGGAGCCGCCACGGTGACACCTTTGGGTGTGCGCCTTCCTCCATGCCTGGGCCCACCTGGGTTCTGGGACCCCCACACAGGACAAGGGGCAGGAACGCGGGAGGGCCTGAGGGAAGGTCTGGCTGGGCAGGAGCTGGGAGGCTGAGACCGGTCGGCAGTGCCCGTTCGCCTCTTTTTTTCCATGAGTCACGCTTCTATAAGTGGCCCAGGAGTAAGTGGCAGCTAGAGACAGGGAAGGGCCCCGGTGGCCTGAGAGGGAGGGGACCTGGGGACAGACAGACAGACGGACAAGCAGAGGCGGAGGGAAGCAGGAGAGGAAGGGAGGAAAGGCTGAGCCCAACTTCTGGAGTTTTGTTTTGTTTGTTTTTACCCAGGGGCCTCAGGGCTGACTCCTGGCTCTGTGCTCAGGGATCGCTCGGATGGGGGGTGGGGTGAGGGGGGGTGGCGCAGGAAACCTTCAGGATGCTGGGTCAGCCGCGTGCAAGGCCAGCGCCCACCTGCTGCTTCAGCACCCACAGTCTTGGGAGTTGAGAAGAAGCCGCAGGGGGGGTGGTGTTCTTCATTATTCTGGAATGTTCTGGACTCACTCACGGAGCGGCTCTCAGGCTGCGCTCTCCCTCCACTGCTTTCTCCTCCCCCATGAGCGCCTTGCCCAGCTCCCTGGCCGCTGGTCTTGCTCCTCTGGGGGTGCCCTGGCCTGGCTGTGGCCGGGAGCTGAGGCCTGCAGGGGGAGGGGCAGCAAGGCTGGGTGCCTGGCAGGGGCGGGTTCGACTCACTGCCCCCGGCCCCTCTCCCCTGCAGCTGGCCCAGGGTGTGAACTCAGGTCAGGGCCTCGGCATCGAGATCATCGCCACCCTCCAGCTGGTGCTCTGCGTGCTGGCCACCACTGACCGCCGACGCCGCGACCTCGGGGGCTCCGGGCCTCTGGCCATCGGCTTTTCTGTAGCCCTAGGACACCTGCTGGCGGTGAGTAAGGCCGGGAGTGCACGGGTCCCTGGAGCTGGGGAGGTGGTGTGTGTGTGTGGTGGGGGGGGATGGGAATCGGAGGGGGAGCTGGGGCGGTGTGCTACCAGGGGGGTCTCTCTGGGCCTGACCGCCCCCTCTCTGCCTCCCCATCTGCTCCCAGATCGACTACACTGGCTGCGGCATCAACCCCGCCCGCTCCTTTGGCTCCTCCGTGATCACGCACAACTTCAGCAACCACTGGGTGAGTCTGGGCGCTGCCTTTAGGGTCCAGCTCTGTGCCCGTCCCCGAGCTGCAGAGTGGGTGGGGTCCTTCCTCCGTGCTCTCTGCACTGTTTGTGCATCAGATGGGTTTGGTTCTTCCACAGGGTGCCTGGTGGGCCAGGGGCGGCGGCAGCTGGGGGGGTGGGGGTGGGATCCTAGGCCACCTTTTTTTTTTTGCTTTTTGGGGTCACACCCAGCGATGCTCAGGGGTCGCTCCTGGCTCAGGCACTCAGGAATTACTCCTGGCAGTGTTGGGGGTACCATATGGGTTGTCGGGAATCGAACCCAGGTCTTTCATGTGCAAAGCAAACATCTTACCCGCTCTACTATCGCTCCGGCCCCTAGGCCACTTTTTCTCAATCCCCTGTGCCGCCCCCCACCCCGGATATTCTAGGGGGACACAGGTGAAAATCACGTGTGCATGGCCACAGCTGTCGAGGCAACGGGAAGGAAACCTGGTTGGAGGGAGGTTGAGGGGCGCAGGAGGGCGGGGCGGGCCCTCTCGATGGGGGGCGGGGCAGTGAGAGGGCGCCCCGGGAAGCGGGAAGCCCCTCTGAGCCCCCCTCCCCCGCTCCCTTTGCAGATCTTCTGGGTGGGGCCGTTCATCGGGGCCGCCCTGGCCGTGCTCATCTACGACTTCATCCTGGCGCCGCGCAGCAGCGACCTCACCGACCGCATGAAGGTGTGGACCAGCGGCCAGGTGGAGGAGTACGACCTGGACGCCGATGACGTCAACTCCAGGGTGGAGATGAAGCCCAAATAGAGGGGAGGGTGCGGGGTGGTGCGTGGGGGGCGGGGCGGGCGGGCGGAGGGGCAGGGCTGCCGTGCTATCCTCTCGCAGACACCGCGGCAGCGGGCGAGCAAAGTCACTTCCCACGTGCGCCCGGGCCGTGGGGCCCTTTCTGTCACTTTCTTTCTCTTTCTTCCCGGGGACCCAGAGGGACCTCCACCTGCTCGTGGAGGAGGTGACAGCCAGGGAATGACTCTGCGTGGTCCCTCCGAGCTCGGGGGGCGAGCTGTGTGCCAGCTCACCCCGTCCCACATCGCCTCCCGGAGTGCCCGGGTCCCTTGCACACGCCCGGAGACCCCTGCCCTGGCCTCTATCAGGGGCCCTGTGTGGACCCCAACAAGGGGGCCCGGAGAGCGGGACAGCCTGGGAGCCCCCCACCTCCGTGGGATTCTGGAAGCTCAGAGCTACAGGGGAGTGAGAGAGCTCAGACCCCAGGGGCCCCAGGGCGGGGAGGGAGGTGGGGCTCCCCAGGGTTCCTACAAAGCGGGTCGTTTGGAAGCGGCTTCTCTGAGCACCCACGTTCTGCTCCCCGCATGCCACCCCCTGCTCTTCCCTCCAGGTCCTGCAGCTGGGGCAGGCGCAGGTCGGAGGGGAGGGGGTGGTGGGGGACTCCTGAGGAACTGCTGACTAAGGTTGAGGACAGGTGATGGTGAGGCACACCACATCCCTGCTGGGCTCTGTGGGCGGGGGCTTTGCTAGAGGGGGTGTCAGCACCCTGCACCCCACTAATTCCTGAGCTGCTGGTTGGAAGCATTTGGGGGCAGTTGAGTGGACTGCACAGGGCCCAGCCGACCCTCCTCAGTGACCCCAAGGGGCTCAGCCTGGATCTGTGGGGCAGATCTGCCCAGGGCCAGCCGGGCACCCAGCCTGCTTTGGGGCAGCTGTCATGTGGGGACACAAGGCCTGGGCGGGCAGCTAGATTGGGCGTGGGAGTGAGGTCCCCAGGGTTAGTCCCCAACAGAGAAGGACACAGGTCCCGGGGCAGTTTCTGGGGCACTCCCTGTCCACTCTTCCCTGGATGGGGTGGCCCCCGCGGGCTTCTCTGTTTCTGCCCGGGCAGGGAGGGGGCTGGGCGGGCTGGACCTCTCCTGCCTGGCTGGCGACTGTGTCCCAGGACCTGCTTCTGTCTGCTCTGCATGTGTCTCTTGGGACCTGGAATTTATTATATGTTAAGAAAATAAAGGAAAATGACTGCAAGGTCGCCGGGCTGCCTGTGTGTTCTCACTTGGCTGGGCCTGGCTTTCCACATGGGGCTCAGGGCAGAGACACGAGGACCAGGCTGAGAGGGACATTGCTGGCCCCAGCCAGGAGCCCCGGGATGGGTGGGGGTGGGCACAGAACTCCCTCTGAGGGGGGCAGGGTCCTGTCTCTCGGGGGGCTCGTATGCCCTGCACCTGCCCCGCCCCTCCCCAGCTGCACCCAGGGGCTCTGCCCATGCCACCCTCAGCCCCCAGCTGGCTGGAAAGGACCCACAAGACTGAACAGCGACGCCAAGGGGAGCCCGAGGGGGTGACGCCAGCTGGTACTTCTGCTCTGGACACCCCCACACAGCGCAGGGGGCGCGTCCAGGTGGAGAGAGATGCTCTCTTTGTCCATTCATCTGTCCGTCCTGCCCTTCCTCCTGCCTGCAGGGTGGGTGCTCAGGGTCCTGCCCACGTGTGGCCTCCCCTAGGGATGGGGCATGGCAGGGCAGTGTCCAGAGCCAGAGGAGGCGCCGAGCCCACAGCAGACGAGCCTCTGGCTGAGCTGAGCCCCCTGCACCCCCACAGACTGGGGAGACATGGGAACCATCCAGAGTTTGGGGCTCAGGGACCCCCCAACTTCCGGAAATCTCCAGGCCTGGGGCAGGGGAGGCCACGGGTGTGCAGGGAAAGGAGGTGCTGGCCCCTTACCCAGCACTGAGAGGATGGCGTCCTCACCCCCATGTGTGGGTCACCCCGACCCCCCCCCCCCAGTATTCCCGCTGTGCACAGGCTGGCAGGACTCGGGGAGGGTCAGGTCCTCCTGGTGGGTGCTCATCTGCCCCTCTCCCCAGAGAGGAAACTCTGTCAGCCCTGTCCTGGGCAGCCCTCCTCTGCCTGTCCAGCATGTCCCCTGGCCCCGCTAGAACAGTGTCACCCTCCCGCACGGTCTGTCATCTCATCAGAACCCCACATGCCTGCTGCTCCCCGTACGGGTGGGCCTTCCCTGAGGGCCCTGGGCAGCCGGCCTCATCTCGGCAAGTTTGACGTGGGCCTCAGTGGGGACAGGCAGGCCCCCGAGCAGTGGGCTTGGGTGAGGCCATGCCACCAGCGGGCAGCAGCGGTGAGACTGGGGTCTGGGCTGTCTGGATGTCCAGCCTTGGCTCATGTCTCACTTTGTCATGCCCGCCATGAGCGAGGGCTGTGCTCATGGTTCCTCTGTATGCAGAGTGGGCCGGATGCAGGAGACGCCTCCAGGCCAGGGTCATGCCCTGCCCCCTGCACGCATGTCTGCTGAGACCCAAAGGTGCCGGCACAAGCTGCCTGCTCCTCTCTCTCTCTGGAAGGAGCCTTGTCCCACGGGCTGCAGGGGGCCGCCCTCGCTCATAGGCTGGGCTGGGGAGGGGAGGGCAACGCTGCTCCCTGAGGCCCAGTAATGCCCACACAGGCTCTCATGTGTCCACTCGGGCCTGGAGGAGGCAACACCTGGCACCCAGATTCCCTCCCGACTCCCAGAGCCCCAGTGGCTGGTCTTCACCCCCCCCCACCCCCGCCCAGCTCTACTGACTGCAGGCGAGGTTCTGGGGGGCTTTGGAAACAACCAGAGTCCTGGCCTGTATTGTTCCTCAGACTTTTGCACTCGGTAAATTTCCCGGAAGCGGCCCCAGTCCAGTCAGATGACCACATGTGGGGGGCCTTGGTATGGGGGAGAGGGTCACCTGTCCCTCTGGCTGAGTCCCTGCTCGGGCCACACAGCGACCCGCCACCTCCACTGAACTCCCCCCTTGTTTCCGGGTGGCTCCTGGGGCTGACCCAGCTGGTCAGCAAGGCCATGCCCTGCACGCAGCCTGCGAGGAAACAGGATGTAATCCAGCAGCCACTGACCCTTCGAGCATTCATCTCTCCATAAAACTCACAGAAGCAAAAAGTTCCACAACAGCCCCACCTGCTCTGAGGTGTCTGAGGAATCCTGGGCGGCCCTGCCTGAGTCCCCGAGTCCTTTTGTGAGCATGGGGAGAATGCTGGGTCACACAGACCTGCCCTTTGGCAGCTGACCTATGACCTCCAGTCATCCTTGGTTCCTAGCCTTGCAGGATTATCCTGAGATGCTTGATGAATCCCCGCCTCCCTTTGACAGTCCTGCTTCTGCTCCAGGCCCAGGGAACTGTCTCCCCCACAGCCCAGAGAGTTAGTGAGAGGCCGAGGAGAGAAGAACTGGCCACTCGGGACTACGTCGGGAAAACCAACAGTGAAGTGCGGCCAAACCAGTGTCACTGGCATTCTTGGTGCCAAAGTCCTGTGGCCCCGGAGGGCCTGGTGAGGGCGGCTTGGGGCAGTCATTGGCTGTCTACTGCCTGGGCAGGAATTCAGCAGAGATGGGGCTGACCCTCACCCTTCAGGGGCTTCAGGTGGGCCCACCGTGCCTTTGGACGCCCAGCCTGCCGGGAGCTGTCCCGGAAAAGCCCCAGAGGGGCTAGTGCCTTGCTCCCGCCTCCGGCGTGCCTGGCCACGTGCAACCCATTCGGATTTTTCCATGGTACTGGCAGGGCAGAAGCCTCACGGGTCGGAGCCGCTGAAGGAGGGGATGGGGATTAATGTTTTATGGACTGACCACTGGGCAGGGTGCCTTGTTTTCTTTAGGTTAGAACACAATGAGGACGATGAGAGGAATTTGCTGTCCCTGGGGCCCGGGCAGGCCACCATGGGGGCCAGCGCCCAGGACTCACAGCGGGTGGTGTTTACCGTGCTGGGTGCCAAAGAGGGCGACACCGAGGTCGGGGTGGCCGGGGAGGCCCCTGCTGTCCTTGGGGCCGGTGGGCAGGGTGCTGACAGTGCTGGTTTGTTCAGATGACCCCACCCCGTTCTAGGACCACCACATGGGGTCTGGCATATGTCTGCTCTCTTCAGTGTACCATAGGGAGTGGACTGTGACACAAGTCATCTGCAGCTTCACGGGTCACTACGGCACCTCAAATGCTGCAATGCTCCCTCTCTTCTGAGTCCTCTAAGGTCCTCTCCCTGACCCCTCTCTCTGGCCTCTGCTACCGGCCCCATCTCCATCTGTCTTGGGCCTTTGGCAGCTCGGCTCTTTGCTCTTTCTCTCTTTCTCTCTTTGTTTTTTTTCTGGTGCTCGGGGTTTACTCTTGGTCCTGTGCTCAGGGATCACTGCTGGGACCGTGTGGGGTGCTGGGAATTGAAGTGAGTGCAAGGTTGTGGACCCTGCCACTGTGCTATCTCTCCTGTCCCTATAGCTCAGCCACCCTTGCTCACTGTTTCTCGCATACAGTCACAGGGAAACTCTTTGTGGCTAATGCTCTGGCCACGTGAGTCCACCGCATATTTTGCATGTCACCTCTGGGCGAGAAGAAAGAACTGAATTCAAATAGAAATGTGAGATGTGTGTCCAGTAAGGCCTGTGCACGTGTGCCACATATGTGTGTGCATGTGTGTGTACATGCTTGTGTGTGGGTGCATGTGTGTGTGTTTATGTGTGTGCATGTATGTATGCCTGTGTGTATGCACGCATGTATGTGCATGTGGGGGGGTGCACGGCATGTGTGTGTGCATTTATGTGTGCGTTTATGTGTGTGTGCGTGTGGGGGTGCATGTGTGTATGTGTGCATGTGTGTGCGCGCGCATGTATGTGCATGTGTGGGGGTACATGTGTGTGTTTATATGTGAGTATGTGTGCATGCATGTGTACACTTGTGTGCGTGTGTGCACACATATGTATGGGAGTGCATGTGTGTGCGTGTGTGTGGGAGTGCATATGTGCATGTGCTTGTGTGCATGTGTGTGTGCGTCCTGGAGAAGTCCTTATCCCACAACACTGTACTTGGACTCCTCCCGAGAACTTTCCAGTGAGCCTCCCTTGAGGGAGATGCTGCAGTTCGTGTCTGCACACAGATACTGGTCCCGCCAGCCCGTGACTAATCCCTGACACGTAGCCAAGGCTGGAGGCCATGCCCTGGCCACCGCTGTGAGGCTTGAAGGAAATGACCCACCTTCATCCTGGGAACCGGCCTGCCCTGATGTAGACCACGGGCCTGAGTGGCCTGGCCTGGCTGGTGCTCACAAAGGAGCCAGGGGCAGGCAATTTCCACCAGTTACCAACTCAGCAAAGAGAGATGATTTAGAGAGAGAAGTGTTATCTTTGGAGAGTGGAGAGGGAGAGGAGGTGGGGGGTGGGAGAACGGAGACTCAAACGAGTCTGGCCCTAAATTAAATTTTCCCTCCACCAAATTAATGAAGACGAGCAAGTCCTCCAGGAGCGCCACAGCCCTCCCGGTGTCAAAACTTCAGGCTGGTGGTACCCAGAGCCGCCTCCTCACACTTCAGCTCAGAATTTCCATAATGCAACTTAAGTGGGTGTAAATAAATAACTCTTGCTTTTAAGGAACGCAAATAGGAAACCAGAACTAATGAGACTCAGGAAGCCCAGTGCAAGGAAGCCCAGCACTTGTGAGTGGAGCTGGCAGGGATAGCGATGACCCTCTGCTGCTGGGCCTGGGCGCTCTGAGTGTCCTGGGGGGAGGTGTGCTGTGGGGGGAGGGGGTCTGTGGGGGTGGCATGTGCCTGCGCGGCCTGTGTGGGGGCCGGTGTGTGCGGGGGAGTTTGGGAGAGCATTTGTTCATTCACAAGGGTGAGGGCCAGCCCTCAGTCTGGGGTACATCTGGGGCAGCTGGGACCCCCCGGGGCCTGTTGGAGGATGCCCCAGAGCTCTCAGAGATGCATCCAACTTACACCACGGGCGTATTTGTTCACGCTCCATGGAGCTCCTCCCTTGCCCGGGCTGGAGCCTGGTACCCGCTGAGGCTCCTGGGGTCCGGCAGAGCGCAGGGTGGGGTGGTGCTGTGGCCAGAACTCGGTGGCCGCCCCACTACCCCCCTTCTCCCTGCAAGTCAGGACTCCCGAGCGCACGCAGACCGCACAAGGCGGGGTTGTTTTTGTGAGCACGGTTTTCCAATGAGAAGTCTAATAAATTCCACCTTTGATAAGGATGCTGGCAAGCCCCTC